AATTCATCATGCACTTTTTTCATTCTTTAAGTTTCTTTGTGCTAGTTTTCCAAATGTCATTATGTCCATACTTTTAACTTCTTTTTAGTATAATGTCATGTGCATTGAAGCCTGGAAGATATTTAGTTTCTGCCAGGAATCCTTACAGAGATGTTTCTTTGTCCACATTGTCATGCTAGTCCTATAAGCCAATCATGAATCCTTCTAATAAATCTTACCTTATAAAAAAACAAAAAGAAAAAAGAAATAATTATTCCTTCTAATCTATCTTTCCTGTGATACTGTTGTATGATGCTATTCATATTCCACGTTGTTCAATTATTTATAGCCATGATAGTTTATATGTAATTTTTTAAATTTGCTTCTATATCTCAGCGTATGACGCATGCTTGACTATTTTGATACACTGCCTCCCGATTTGGCAACACTCATTTGAATTATAGTGATAGGGCATTTTGGATATTCTTCGACAAGATGTTGTGCAGATATTCCATCATCTTTTGTAGAGGAGATATATTCTACTTATTCATCATTTGGAGATGCATGCTAAATTACAGTTGTATTGGCTTGCTAACATTTTTGTACCATGTGTTAACAGGTCCTGTTGGAGAGGACATGTTTCACTGGCAGGCTACAATAATGGGGCCCTCTGACAGCCCTTACGCTGGGGGTGTATTTTTAGTCACTATCCATTTTCCTCCAGATTATCCATTCAAACCTCCTAAGGTATCTTATAGTTGCAAATTACTTTGTGAGTCAATGATGTGTGTGCTGGTGGTTGTTCTATTTGCAGAGTCCTTATTTGGTTTTTGCATATTGGAGCATAATTCTCTTGGACTTTTGACTCCCGTCTATTCTTGCATTGTTTGATGTTGAAACAGATTTCCTGGTAATGAGCTTGTGCCAAGTGCAATGTAGAAGAGAAGTTTTTTGTTAGACTGTCACCTTGCCTTGGAAACAAATTCTCAAGGTTGAGAGAGGTGTTAGGATACTTAAATAAACATAGTACATATGCTTGTGTAGACAATAAATTTGCGTCAAGAAAATAAAATCAAGACCAAAAATATCGCAACAATCGTAGTATTTTATTTCGAATATTTGAGTGTTACAATCTCTATGGATCCTCTGATTCTTCTTTTCAATAGTAAATAAATTCAAGGGCCTTTGAGCTTGATCTTGAATCTATATTTGTTTTCCACGAACGATGATCTTGTTCTTGAGCTTGATTGCTTGAACTTGACCTTGATTCGTTCTTCGTTCTTGAGCTTGAACTTGATTTGTTCTTCGTTCTTGAGCTTGAATTTGATTGCTTGAAGCTTGAAACTTGTAGAGAAATTTGTGGCGTTTGATCCACGAGCTCTCTCTTGCTTCTTGTTATAACTTCTGGTGTCTTTTCTGAGTTATGAAGACCCATATTTATAGTTGTGGAAAGGAGGAGTTGTGATAAGAACAAACTCTTTCCGACCAATCAAATTGAAGTGTGATATAGCTGCATTTGATTGGCCAGAACATGTCACTCGCACACGTGGCACGGTTTCATTGGCCTTCTAATGTGACTTGACATGCCTTGTCATTTTGACACGTGGCATGATCCTATTGGCTCCTCCGTTTGACTTGGCTCGCCACGTCATTTGACACGTGGCACCAAACTAGGCTTTTAGGAAGATGGCATATTGGGCCTAATAAAGTGGGCGCATCACTTGTAGCCCAATTAAATGGGCTAGCCCAGTCAGAATTTATTGGACTTAAGTAATTAATCCAATTATATTAGACCATAATATTAATTCGGACTAATACATTTAAAAATAGTCCAAATTATTTTATTGAATTTAAATTCAATAAATTTTGCATGCCTACAGCTTGTTTTTGAATTTTGGTGTCAGATATGGTGATTAAAGATGAATATGGATTTCATCTTTCAATTTGTATTTTTTTAATATTGCCTTGGACTAGCCCCTAGGGCTTTGGTCCTAGTGTAAGAGCGCAACACGTGATGTGTGGGTCAGGCGCATGTCACGGGTTCATACGTTGCCGCAGACAAAAGCTTGGTATTTACGTGGAGAAGGATAGAGGGGCCAGCTCATTTTCCACCAAGTTTTGAACTGTGCACCATTGACCCTTCGGGATTTCTTGGTGATAAAAAAATTGCCTTGGATTATTCATACTTCATACGTCATTTATAGAAAGAAAGAGCAATACCATTTTGGTGTGGGTTAAGAACGAGGAAGATTTGGCTTTTTTAGAATGACATCATGATCGGTATCAACTAGGTGATCTGCAGGACTAAATGCATGTTTTATACAGATGTACTCATACATGAAGCATTTGGAAAATTTCTGTTATTGTCAGACAAGCTGTTTTTTGGTCAATTAATAGTTGGTGAACCTGAACATGTTCATGTATTTATGGTTGTCAGTTTATAAACTGGAGTCTTCCACTAGACTTTATTGTGTTACATTCTGGTTAAATCTTTGCAGGTTGCTTTTAGGACAAAAGTTTTCCACCCAAATATCAACAGTAATGGGAGCATATGCTTGGACATACTGAAGGAGCAGTGGAGCCCCGCCTTAACTATTTCCAAGGTCCTTTCTTACCTTTATCTGCTAACAAATAATGCAAGCTATGAAAACATACTTATTCAGTGGCTTGGGACTCATAATATAAGAGTTTTTTCAAATCAATTTGGATGCATCAGCTAATTGTTGGTAATCTAAAGGATAGGTAATAAAGATATAGTGACTCCTTGAAAAGGAATCAACATTTTATTGGACATTTTATGTTATAGGTGACCTAATCTTATTAGCCTTTTCTAATTATTCCTTTATAGCTTTAGGAAGCAACGGTGAAAACATTTTAACTGTCTAACTTGTCCTTCATAAAGTGCTTTGGTTTCGGTTGCCAGCATATGATCTTAACTCTGACTGTGTTCTCTGATGGTATATCAATTGTGTCTGTGGAAATTATGTGTTGTGTCAAATGGTTTTCCTAGACCAGTAGAACTGGTTGAGTTTCACGAAGTATGTTGTGTCATTTGTGTTTCTTAAGGTGGGAAAGGTTTCTGTATTACCTTCAGGTTTTGCTTTCAATCTGCTCACTTTTGACGGACCCAAACCCTGATGACCCTCTGGTTCCTGAGATTGCTCACATGTACAAGACAGACAAGGCCAAATATGAAGCAACTGCCAGGAGTTGGACCCAGAAGTACGCCATGGGCTAACTATTGCCTATGGCCGCTTGAATTGATATAAAGAAAAACAAATTTCAATGTCTTTCTTCTCTGCTCTCTCCATTAACAAGTTGTACAATAGCATTAAGCATTGCCCTCTGCAGGAAGACTAATGATGCTTTGAATTTTGTTTATATAGATTCTAATATTTTATGTGGGGAAGCATATATTTATCTGGTTTTGGTTTGTTTCCTTTGGTTTGACACTATTTGGTGTAAAAAAAAACATGTATTTTGTACATTCTATCATGTTTATTACTATTAAGGATAACTATGTGAGATACGACTTCATCCTCGAGGTGGGGTTAATCTTATCGTAGTTTAGTTTATCTAATTAACCTTGGCCTAAGATTTTAGGAAAGATGAACGGATGTCTTTATTTTTTTCTTTTCTTCTTTATCCCCTGTTTCCTATTTTCACACCTTGAACTACTTCTCAAGTATTTGGCATACTGTGAGAATAATGTGGTGCACACTTCATGTTAAGTTGGAGTATGATTAACTATGCTACAGCATTGTGAATTAAGTGGCATCTGAGAAAGATAGACAGTACTGGTTATTGGTTCAAACTCAGAAGCATCATGTAATGGAGCTTCCACAGTTCAAAGGAGCTTATGTAGTTTCATTGTTCTCGAACTAGTCTATATTTAGCATGGAGTAATCTGAAACCACCCAACTATATGATGCTTATGTGCATCTGCTACCAAAGTTTTGGCTGGAAGAATTCCCTTAGTTTCATCTCTATTGAAATTACCTTTCCTAAGCCGAGGGTCTACCGGAAATAGTCTCTTTGCATTCTTGAAGGTAAAGGTAAGGTCTGCGTATACACTACCCTTTGTTGTTGTTTGTCATCTTTGTTGAAATTCGAACCTTGGTTTCCATATTGTTATTCTGACTCATAAACCGTTTCACCATCTACTATAGGGGGTTTATTCATTGCACCATTGAATGTAGGAGACTATCTACTATAGGGGGTTTATTTGTTGCACCATTGAATGTAGGAGACTTATAGCCTGTTTGGCCAAGCTGCAAAAATCAGCTTATTTTGAGAAGTGTTTTTTCTTTAAAGTGCTTTTGGTGAGAACCAGTTTGTGTTTGACAAACTTATTTGAAAAGCACTTATGAGCAGCAATTAGTGTTTTGCCAAGCTTTTAAAAACTGCTTCTAAGTATATTTTTTTTAAAAGTGTTTTTTAAAAAAGTGATTTTGAAGAAAAGCTACTTTAAACTGCTTCTACTCAAAAGCACTTTTTTTGTCTAAAAGCTGGCCAAACACTTGAACTTTGGAAAAAAATCACTCAAAAAAGTGCTTTTGGCTTGGAGAAGCTTGGCCAAACAGGCTATTAGTCTTCTTGATACTTTGCTTGGATCATAAGCTTTCAACTTAGATAACAGGGAGTAAAAAAGGTGAGGAAAAGAGATGAAAATCAAATTCGTTATCAAGTTGCCAAAGTATTCTGAAAGTTACAAACTTGGTAAGCACAAAGAGTGAAAGAATCTACTTTATTACCAGCGTGAGTCACATTTTACCAATGGTTTTCTATCCAGAAGTTGAAATTCTGAAATTGAGCTCGTATTTTTGTCTTATCTTTTTTGTAATGTATAATATGAAACCTATATTGATGTAAATTTGAATGATTAAGAAGTTACCAAATATTCTAGTCCCACTTTCTGGTTCCCCTGAACACCTCAATGCTAGATCAGCCATTAAAACGCATTATATATATATATATATATAAATTTTCCTTCTTCATCACTTGTTAACGAATGTTCTCCCCATCACGTCAATCCCACGAGCCTCTTATCCATTCTCATTGAACGACGGCGGGAAGCAAATCCAACTAGAAAAACTCACATTGGGCTTAGGGATAGTCAGGCTCGAACTGATGACTTCCACCACGTAGCCGATTCCAACTTCCTTTATTTACTATAACTCATTTTGAATCACCTTAGCGAAAAATTTGGCTCAGGGAGCATATGTAACACATTTTGATGGAGCCTACGGGGCCATTTCTCAAACTGTGCGAATACGAGAGAGAGTGTGGGACAGGAAACAGCGAAGGATTTCAGCAGCAGACAAACTTGCCATTAAAGGAAAACCACATGCAAAAAAAGAGAAAAAGGGTCAACAAAAAAACAAAAAGATTAGCTTAAACACCAAATACAGACCACTAAAGAAGGAAAAGAACTCTACCTTGCATTCCAATTGGTCTAAAAAATATTCCCAACCTATGAAATCTGAAAAAAGCAAAGGCAAGAACGCTTTTTTAAGTATAAAATGAATTGATTGGTGGTGCATTTCTTTTGGTTTGATATTATTGTATATTATATGAAGATGAAAAATACTTATAAAGATTTGCATAATTTGACAGAGAGAGCAGGGATTTTACATTATAAAATCACTGAAAGAATTAATTATGAAGGATTACATTTCTGTAGAGATTGTGCTAAAAATGGTCGTTACTGTGGAATTGCAGACCTTAGAATAGAAGATAAGGAGAAATTGATTGCCATTCGAGACTCATTGAAGGAAATTCAGAACATGCTTGAGTTCTACCAGGTTTTACTTTTGGTTACTTTCCTTTGTCTAAAATGAGTTCATTTTTTTTGTTAATTTATTCTAAATGCATGATTAGTTGAGATGTCGAAGACATAATTAAGTATAAAAAGTGTCCGATATGTTTAATAACTTGCAGTTTTAGATGAGACGGTCACACACAATTCAACAAGTATATTTGACAAGGAATGGTTCTTGAGGTCGAGTCTCTCGCATACAATGGCATTAAACTACCTTTGCCACTACAAGGGGATTTAGGAGCTAATGTATATACAGTCAAATATCTCTATAACAACCTTTATTTTGGATTTTCTTGGCTGTTATAAAGAAGTGTTGTTATAGAGAACATATATTATAACATAACATGAAAATTGGTTTCATCAAAAACTTGACTTTTATAGTAAATGGCTATTATATGATGATGCTGTTATAGAAAGGTCTGACTGTATATATTAAAAAAATTATTTATGCCCTATTAGCATAGTACAATTTTCCAAAGAAAGTGATCGTGATGTCGTCATTGCTCGCATATGAGAGGCAGTATTGAAGGCATAATTAAGTATATAAAAGTCGTGTTATGTCTAACGGTCAGAGACTCAAGTTCACTTGCAAGACGAGTTAGGACAATAGGTCGACAATGCTTGTGCAAAATCCTGCATGCAAAACTATCTGAATACAATCAAACCTCTATAACAGCCTAATTTTTTCCGATATTTTTTGGCTGCTATAGTGAAGTTTTGTTATGGAGGACATATATTATAACATAATATAATAATCAGTTCCGAGAAAAACTCGGCTTTTATAGTGAATGAGATGATGTTATAGAGAGGTCTAATGGTAGATGTAATTATTTAACTTTTACTTGTCCAATCATTGCAGACATTACAATCACGGCAGCAGAGACTATACCATGGAGCATTTGCCCGTTTAGAAGAAAGCAGAATGCTTCTGCTAGAAAAAATAAACAAGTATCCAACATGGGGAAGTAAACTAGACTTAATTGAAGAATTAAGAGAGTGTTTAGTTGAAGGAAAAGTTGCATTTCCTGAGAATTTGGCAGAAAAAAGAGAGAAGAAAATTGAAGATGAGAACAACAAGAAGAACAGTTCAAGTTTCTTGGTCATTTGCATAAGAGGTTTATTTAATCCATGGAACTGGTTTCGTACTACAAGAATTGCTGCCGTAGCGTTGATTGTTGCCTCTGCAACCATTTCTTCTCCAGTTAGCTTTTACAAGAATAGGCTGCAAGATAAGAAGATCATGCCTGTACCAAGAATGAAGATTGATTATTTGGATCGCCAACTAGCTGTTTCAGCTGGAAAGGGATGAATATGATCATATCTAGTATTATTTTTTATCATAATTTTGTCGGGATACCTTGCTGATCGGGTTGGCTAAGTACATGTTGTTAGAAGATGTACAGACGAGGCGTAGAGATACGTAGTCAATCAGGTTTTGATTGGATCATCGATATAGAAACGCCTGGTATGCATGGTTTCAGACTCTTTAGATGTGATTATCCTCAAATACAGGTATAGCACAGACTTCAGTTATAGACGTTATACGTATCATAGATTCATATACAGTCAGAATCAGTCGCAGAGGCAGGATTTCCGTTAAGGGAAGACTGTGGCCAGATTTTTCCTTATATATATAGTGTAATTTTTCAGCGAAGGGAACCCCAAAATCCGTCCCTGATCAGAATACAGATTCAAATGTGAATTTTCATAATATAGTAAAGTACCAGAAACAATTTCAGCTCTCGGTATACAAGAGATATGTATTAAATTTACAGTATTGAATTGCATGTTGCTTTTCAACTCTTACTCCAACAATTACGGATGGTTATAACCATCTATTCACTGCCCTCGGGTGTTAACGGTCAATGGAGTGGGTGAAAACCATGAGCAGATGCGGATACAAAATTTGAAGTTTATGGATTCCTACGATAACTTTAAGTAAATGTCCAGACATATACACTATCTGGACAGAAGTTACTGGCTTCACGTGAACCAGTATGTCATAGGTAGATCCGCCCCTGACCATGAGTGATAAATATTTAAATCCCAACAGAGACGAAAAATTGTTTGATGCTTGTTTCCCATCCGTGTAAGTCTTGGTAGTCAGATCTCAAATATTTGTGTTTGCTGGAGGCAACAATGGAATAGTCAAGGCACGCGGAAACTCGCCTGGACACCATTTTATTATTTAAAAACAATAAAAGTGCTGCAGAATTAAGGAAACTGATAAGCTAGCACTAACATATTGAAACCTTATTGAAGACTAATCATCATACATCATTATTCTAAACACACTTACTAATTCTAGTTAGATTAAAGTTTGCATAATCATCCCATATTTTTCTTACTCCTACTAAAACAAACTTAACACAAAACATATCAACATTATAGTACTACTACAACAACTATGCATCAATTCCAAAAAGTCGAGATTTGCTATGAATCCTCACTGTTCATGTCGCTGATTTATTTAAGTCCATCTTACTTCAATATTATGATACTAAATTACAACAACAACAATAAACTCAGTGTGGTCCCATAGGTGAGGTCTGTAAAGAACAGTGTGTACGCAGACCTTACCCCTACCTTGTGAAGATATTACGATACTAAATTAAGTATCAAAAAGGTTGTAACAAGAAGTAGAAGGAATTTTAATTTAATAAGTCCAAAGAAAAGCTCCCATAGCAAACTTCCTCTTGTGTTTTACATCTCCAAGAATAGGAAGTCCATATTGAGTAAGCAAACAATCCAACTTCCATTCTGGCATATTCTCATACTCAGCCTTTGTGTATTTTGGATAATGTAATGGCATTTGAAACCCAAATCCATAACGTTCTTTGCCATTTGATCTTGCCATTGACTCCATAGAAACACCACTCATTTTTCTTCTCTTTTATATAATATGCTTTAGTTTGGAAATATATGAATATGGTTTGTGTATTTATAGAGGAAGATAGGGGGTTTGTTAAGCAAATTTAATGATGGTATTCTCGAGGTAGGTGTGGTATATTTTGAAATTAACGAAGGAATTTAAGTTGTTTTTCGATATGATTTATGTGGTTGAATACATACAAAGAATAGGGAAAACCAACTTGTCCAAATTTCTCATTCTATTCTAGATTCCAAGGGTTAGGAAGTACTCCCCCGTCTCAAATTTTCTGTTGTACTTTCTAAAAATAGTAATCTCAAATTATTTGTCATTTTAGAAGTTCATGACAAATAAATTACTCCCCCTGATCCACAATAAGTGACCAATTTGCTTTTTTATTTTGGTCCAAAATAAGTGTCCATTTATATAATCAAGAAAAAATTCAATTTGTTTTTCCAAAATTACCCTTATGTATGTATCCATAAAAAGTCATTTACTCCTCACATTTGAGAAGAGAAGTAAGTGCTACTTTAACTATGGTGCAACATTTAATGAAGGATAGTTTAATCACACTAATGAAGGATAGTCTAGAATTTAGTATTTCCTTAATAGATGTGTCCAAAGCAAATTGGTCATTTATTGTGGACCGGATGGAGTATATTTTTCCCATCTTACTGCTAATAATAATTGTTCTTGAAAATGGAGATAATACATAAATAGAATAAATATTTAATGATGTGAGATTTTATCTTAAAACATAAATAAGGGTAAAATAGTCTACTCCTAATTAATGTTTTTTAATGAATGTGTGGAAAAGAAACGCGACAGATAATTTGAGATGGAGGGGTATATATTGAATTTATTAATGACAAGAATGATTAGTGTGAAGTTTCCTCTTGTGATTATCTTGGATTTGTTTTTTGGTTAAGTGTTATCCATAATATGTAAAAACATATATACGTTATAATAGGCTATTAATTTACTCAAAGTTACCAACTCGTGCTTAGGGTAGAGTTTTCCTATAGTTGTCTTTTATATGATTTTAATGTCTAAAAATAGAGTTTACATTTTATTCTAAAAAATGTATTTGCCCATGGTTTTATTGTCAATGCAACCAAAATAGTGACATATACAAATACCAGAGTTTACACGAGTGATGTCGGTCTTGTTTGACAAAAAAGTATTAAACCTTTTAGTTAAACCAATTAATGAAGAAATAGAGGCTAAATTTTAGCCAAACATAATTAACTCTAGATCTAAGTATATTGAATATAAAAATTGAAAGAGACTGAGCTTATGTAACATTCCTTAAGATGATTAACAGACATCAAATATAAATGATAAGCTTTCCTCTTCGATGTATCGTTCCGTACTTGTAAGAGCAAAGAAGGAAAAGAGGGAAAGTTGTAGATAACTACGAAATCTATTTTTATTGATTCAGCAATGATGATTACAGAGGGTTGTAACCAAAATCTTTCTTCCCTCACATATATATTACCAATTTTCCCTTTATCTAACGGTCTTTAACCAATATGCCCTCTCATGACTGTACTCTTCCTTACTCGCCCAAGTATTACGACAGATGTTCTGCTGTGTAAGTTTTCTGATGGCTCGATCTCGGCAGTGACCGAGGTACTCGTTGCTATTACGCCTCGTGGGCACGACTATAGCTTGATCGACCCCTTACCATTCCTTTTAATGATAACCATTTTGTGGTCAGATTTTGACCCATACAGGTCTATTGTCACAATTCAACTTGTAAGTGAGCTTGAATATATGACTATCATATCTCAAATTGATATCTAATTTATGTATATACACATATATTGTTTTAAAAAAAAAACTAATTATACACATAAGTATAGGGAAAAGATATCCATTGCTTCTCTTTACATGTTTTGCCCGGATTCCTTTTATACTGCTATGTTTTTGTTTTCCTTGAGCCGGGGGCCTATCGGAAATAACCTCTCTATCCGCAAGATTTACGTACATATTACCATTCTCAGGCCTCACTTATGGGATTACATTATGTATGTTATTGTTGTAGTATTTAATGTCACTCATTTTAAAATGGTGTCTCAGCCACTAACTAAATCAGAATTCAGATGAACATTAATGTCTGCTGTGAATAGCAAAGAGTTAGGAGCAGTAACGCAACACAAGTGGACTGACGACTTAACATATACTCCATTAAATGCAAGCAAGAAAGTAGATACTATGTTCTTTCATATGCTATTCACCACACAAATCTTGTTAATGGAGACAACCAAATTAAAATGCATATATAGCAATTAAATTCTTAAAAGCATTAAATGTTGATCACCAGTTCACTACATTGTGGTGTATATTCATTCAAAATCACTATAATTGAGAGCAATGTCTCCTACTTGATAAATTTGTGATAGTAGATGATCATCACTAGGAAATGCCTACTTATAATATCTTCAAGACCACATATGGTGGCTTTGGCTTGACTTTGCATACCATTGTTGTTTGTCGGTCGTGGATAGGCTCTTATTTATTTTAAGTTTTTTAATTTTTCATTAGTGAAATTTTTACCTCCTATAGCAAAGGTTAACACCTTATTTATTTTAAATAATACCTTTTAAAAAAAATTATATTTTATAGATACCTTTTAATGTTTATAGCAAAATATCTAATTTGGTTAACTCCTACCCTTAAGCCACTAAATACGCTATTCAGTTACACTATTTTCTTTCTCTCTCTACTTTGATACATGTCATTCTCTTCCCCGTTCCCTAAAAACATGACGCTCAATCTCAAAATTCCTCACCCATAGATCACACTCTCTCTGGTCTCTGCACTCAAATTCAACGACCCCTCGTAGAATAATCTTCAATGCGAAATATCGGAAGTTGTCACTGCCAGGCAGCAAGTGTCGCCCCGGCCAAGCCGGAATATCTTTCATGACTTCCAGCATCACATCTGCAGAAATTTTCAAAAGAAAAAGCTAAAGAACACTATACTTCTGTCATCTTCAATCGCTTCCAACTGGATTGTGATTAAGTATGCTACTGCATCTTACTCTTATTTAGAGATTCACTTCGCTTCGCTTCCAACTGTAAACAATTTTTACTCTCGGAATAGATCACTTTCACAGTAGCATTCTCGGAGATTCAGGGTTTTTGCTCGATGGCGGATTCGCCGGAAATTAGGGGTTGTTCTTGAACAAAGACGACGGAGTTTGGGGTTGAGCAACTTGATTTTCTGTTAATATATTTCAATGTATTTTCAACGTATCACACTGTATTTTCATGTATTTTATTGTATTCATTGTCTTTTTTTCATTGTTGTTCAATGTATCTCGCTGTATTCCATGTATTTCATTGTATTCACTGTCTTTTTTTCATTGTTGTTCAATGTATCTCGCTGTATTCCATGTATTTCATTGTATTCACTGTCTTTTTTTCATTGTATTTCAAAGTATCCCGTTGTATTCCATGTATTTTATTGTATTCACTCTCTCGCTATATGCCATGAATGTATTCATATGTTTTTTTAATTAATATAATTTATATATTCAGATGTATGATATAATTTCTCTGAAGATTGTTATGTTTTTAGGGTATTTTTCGGTTGAGAATCTTTTTTATAAATGGAAATACAAAATTTGTGTGTTACAATTGAGTTTGTTGAGTTATATTAAGAGTATATTATATTAATTGATTCACTTTCCGTTTAAAAATAGTGTAATCCCCTATTTCACGCCGTGAATATAGCCAAATACAGTCGAATACAATAATCTGTCCAGCTGTAATCCCATGTTACACGCCATGAATACAGTCGAATACACTCTAATACAACAACTAATTAGCTGGACTTCCCTGATTCACGCCTATTTTTGCTATTGTATTCATGAATACAGTAGCTTAAATACATCTAATACATCTTATAACAACAGAAAACGTATCTACAATCCGTAATATAGCAAATGGTATCTATAGATAGCTAATTACTACTAAAAGATAGTGCTTTATGAAAATTCTAGGTGCCAATTTGAAATATTATATAAATAGTTGTTCTCAGACGGCTATTATATGGAATATTAAGAAGGCGAAATACATAAATGACCCCTTTAAGTTGCCCACAATGATCAATTGAACACCTTAACTTGGCGTCTGACCAGATAGATACCTCTACTTGATAGAAGTATATTCTCTTAAACCCCTTACGCTGACATGACAAATTTTGTGTGTTACACTAAGATCTAAACGCGTGAAGATCTTAAATATTAGATTTATCTTTTTTTCACCTAAATTAAAATGGACCCCACCTAATTCTAGACCTCCTCCTTCTCCAATTTTTCCTCCATGTCTTCGGCCGTCCTTTGCCCTAAACTTACTCCCATCTTTTCCCTCCATGATAGAAAAAGTGCATTAAAGACACAACTTTCATTACCACCGTAATCACTGTCATACCTCTGTTTCATTACCTCGGAAGGAGTATAAGGGAATTTTTTTCAATTTAAGTGATAATCGAAACGAGATTATTTATTAAAATCAGAGTTGCCACTTAGGATAATTTGTGGTGTCCCAAGTCACCAGTTTAAATCCCGAGTCGAGGAAGTTTGACTCTATTTACGGTCTGCAAACACAGAAATCCGGGTAAGAAATTTTGTTAACCCG